GAGAGAGAGAGAGGTCTCTGGAGGAGGGAGAGTAGTACGTACCGTCCGTCCGCTGATGTGATATGTGATTGGCACGGCTCTCGCTTTCGCTTTTGCTCTTCGGCGGGCTTGTGTACTGTACTGTAGAGGCGTGATGACCGGAGAGCTTGGCGGGCAGGGCGAATGGGGAGGGACGATGGAGGGGTGCATTTGCCTTGTTGGGTCGTGGCGGCCGGGGTTATTGTGCGCAGCAGATCTTTGTTGTGGCTGCCGAGTGGCGCTTGGTATGTGAAGTAGACAGACAGAGTTGAGGAGCGAAACTGGTTCTCATCATTTTTTCAGTTTTCGGCGGCTTACAGATGGTGTGTATTGGTTGATGAGGTGGGATTCGGTTGAGTGGGATGGAGAGAGCTTGGGTGGTACAGACGTCCCTTGTTTTTTTTGGCAATCTACTTCTACATCGTACGCATAGTTCAGCGTCTTCTGCCCGACACAAGAATGTCTCTCACTTCCCCCCTTACCGTCTTATAATATATCTCACTCTTTGAACTACGCTTCTGCATACCTCGTCTGTTACCTCTCATACCCACTCATACGATCGACGATAGATAGAATCGCAGTATAGCCTACCGCTGACATCAACTTTCAACTCGAACTCAACCCATTACCGTCCGCGCATCAAGCGTGACAGACACCACACGAGAACATCTCCGATTTTCTCTCTCAATCACACATCGGCTTGATATAGCAGATATCACCTGCATTTGCGTTCGTCCGTAGGCCACGCACGCACGCAAGCAAGAGAACGGACGCGGCCAGGAAAGTCGCAGTGGCACCTCGAAGAGAAGAGCGCGCAAGAATCTCTTCAAATCCCAAACGCGATGAGAATTCTCGATATCGGGTTCGGTAATCGGCCAGATGATCAAATTCACGTATCGGGTCGTCACCGCCCTCGGGATTCGTAGCGTGCGCCTGGTGCGGGATCGGGCTGGGAGCGATCTAGCTTCGTGAAGCATGATTTGATCTAGAGGACACGATGGTCATAGGTTAGAGGGCGTGAGCGAGCTTCGTTGTCGGGGGAGGGAATTCTCTTTGGAATAATAAGTGTTGTGATCAGGACGGGACGCGGGACGCTGATCGAGGAAAGGGTCACCGTCGCGAGGGCATCGAGATGTCGACATATCGCTTGGGCTGGCGCAGTGTTAATATAGCCTTCCTTGATAGCGCATGCGCACGTATATATATATATATATGTCTTCACCTACTATATGCTATACGTCTAGCTCTCGACTCTCAGGATCCGTTTCTAGAGCCAAGAAGCCCGAAATTGTCGTCGTCACGGAAAACAGTGCCAACTTTCGTGGAGCGGACAGCCCCCTACGCCGGTAGCGAAGACAGTCTCTGGGCACCAGACCGCCGTCTCCTACCACCAAGGCCAACAGCACGTGTACCACTCGGCATCCTCCTGAGGAACTTCCCAGGCGGCGGAATAAATAACTGACTGGTGTGGCCGGAAGATAATTTCCCTCGCTGCTCCAACGGTGGCGCCGTTGAAGCACCGCATATCACGCTCCAGGGCGGGTACTACGATCATCTCCGGGTTTGGTTCGACAGATGCTGCCAAGGGTGCGCAGAGTGTTCAGCTACGGCGGGGTTCATGGACCTGGTCACCATGCTGTCTTCACCGACGGCGATGGTGCGTACTTGGGGAGTCTGTCCCTCCGCCTCATTCGAGACCATCGAACTCCGCTCCTGAGACGTTCTTGCTCAGGAACAGGGTTGATTCCCTGATCTCGCACAGTGCTGATGCACTACCAATCCAAAGAAGACGGTGTCGCTTAGCTGGGCCCTCATCGCGTTCGCCACACCACGTCAACCCCCGTGGCGCATTGTGTATGTACACAGTTTCCGGCTCAACGAGCTCCCAGGGGCGGGACTCCTCCGGGTTGTTTGTTTACTCTACGACTCTTTATTCAAGACCCTCGACCGCTGAAATCTTCTGGGCTGATGGCCTCCGAAGCCAGCGATGAGCCTCACACTGAGGTCATCGCTTCGCTGAGAAAGTAAACAAAACAAGGACTCGGTCTCGCTTAGTGGCCGCCCCCCTTTCTTGGAGGCGGCAAACCACGCTCACTCACTCGCTCACTGGGTAGAACTGATTACTTTTTCTTATTTGTTCACTTGAAGAAGAGGGACAGCCGGATCCCTGGGTATAGCCATCAATTAATGGTTTACTTTTTCGTGGCATGAAAGTTTGGGGCAGAAATCCGGAAGGGGACGACGGGCATGAGATGGGGGATGATGATGGATGATGATGGTGGATGGATAGTGAGAGTGGCATGGAAGAAAGAGAGGCAAATAAACCTGGCGTAAGGCGTTGAAACTGCGATGTGCAACAAAAACATAATGCCAAGAGTTACTCCACGTGAGCGGATAGACCTTCCACATCGGTCGGCGGTCACGATAAGATAGGCAGAGATAATACTCTATCTTGCGATACCGGCCCGGCACTTGTATTCAAGCTTTCACTTTCACCCCACTCCTGCGTCGCATTGCCGGTGGTCAGGTCGTCCGACATAAAGAAGACCACTTCAGTCGAGTCCCATCTCTCTTCCTCATTCACACCCGCTCTTCTCAATAATCCTCCTCTCTTCTCTCCATGGCATCTCTCCGACCAGCAGCGCGTTGGCGCCATGCTGCACGCCTGATACCCTCACTGCGAACCTCAGCACAACGACCCTACTCCGCTGCTGCTGGTGCCGCCGCCATCAAGCCCTCGGCCCTCTCGAGCGAAGCCCCCTTCTTCCCCAATGAGCCTGCCGGTCCAATCGTCAAGACGGCCATTCCAGGCCCGAAGAGCAAGGCGGCGATCGAGGATTTGCACAAGGTGTTTGATACCCGGAGCTTGAACATGCTGGCCAACTATCAGCAGAGCTTGGGCAACTACATTGCGGATCCTGATGGGAACGTCTTGTTGGATGTGTATGTCCTCCGAGTCATGTTTTGATTATGCAATCGATTGATGAGATCTACCTGAAGATATGCGCAAATCGCCTCGATCCCCGTCGGTTACTGTAATCCCGCGCTCCACGCTGCTGCCTCCTCTGAGCAGATGATCTCGGCCTTGATCAACCGTCCGGCACTGGGTAACTTTCCGCAGCACGATTGGGCGGATATCCTGCGAACGGGAATCCTCTCCGTAGCACCCAAGGGCTTGGATCAAGTCTTTACCGCCATGGCCGGCAGCGACGCCAACGAAACAGCCTACAAGGCAGCCTTCATGTGGAGGCGGCAGCAGGAGCGCGGAGGAGCGCATGTCGATTTCACCGAGTCCGAGATCTCCTCCTCGATGCTCAACCAGGTCAGCGCAGTCCCTGTCCAAACATCCCAGGGGGAAAGCACATCCTGAAGCCAGAAATGATAACTCACATCGTGACAATATACACAGTCCCCCGGTGCCCCTGCCCTCTCGATCCTTTCTTTCAAAACCGGCTTCCACGGCCGCCTCTTTGGCTCCCTCTCGACCACGCGCAGCAAACCCATCCACAAACTCGACATCCCGGCCTTCGACTGGCCCCAAGCCACCTTCCCCCTGCTCAAATACCCACTACACGAATTTGAAGCCGAGAATGCCGCAGCGGAGGCCGAGGCTCTGGCGGACGTCGAGCGCCTCATCAAAACGCACCACCTGCCCCCTTGCGCCGTAGTCGTCGAGCCCATCCAAAGCGAAGGCGGCGACAACCACGCCTCGCCGTCCTTCTTCCGCGGCCTGCGCGCCCTCACCAAGAAACACAACGTCCTGCTGATCGTCGACGAGGTGCAGACCGGCGTCGGCGCTACGGGGAGGTTCTGGGCGCACGACCACTGGGAGCTCGACACGCCACCCGACATGGTGACGTTCAGCAAGAAGGCGCAGACGGCGGGCTACTACTTTGGGAACCCGGAGCTGCGGCCGAACAAGCCATATCGCCAGTTTAACACGTGGATGGGTGATCCATCGCGGGCGCTGCTGTTCAAGGCTATCATCGAAGAAATCGATAGGATGGACTTGGTGAATAACACTGCTACAGTCGGCGACTACTTGTTTTCGGGGATCGAGAGGCTGGCGGAGAGGTATCCGGGGGAGATTACGAATCTGAGGGGAAAGGGACAGGGCACGTTCATCGCGTTTGATAGTCCGAGACGAGACGATTTCCTGAAGAAGGCGAAGAGCGTGGGTGTTAATATTGGGGGCAGTGGGGAGGCGGCTGTGCGGTTGAGACCTATGTTGATTTTCCAGAAGCACCACGCGGATATCCTGCTTGAGGCTATGGAGAAGATTGTGAAGTCGTAGGTTTGGAGGAGGGACGGGGGGCTGGGTGTATGAATGGTGGGCTCACGTTGGGGTTGAAGGCGTGGGATGTAGTAAGGTCTCTGGGAAGGGTTGATTCTGGAATCTAGAATTTTGGATGACTGGTTATGAATCTTGAAGCGTGAATCGCTTTCTTCATCTAGCAGCTGGGCTCCGGCGCAGCAAAATCGGATATGGCATTTGGTATTTGGTATTTAGCATTTAGGTTTGTCAAATTGTCCATGACGAAACGAAGCGAAAGGAAACGAAACGGAAGTCACGAAATGAAATGATCTGATGAAATGCACCTGAAATGAAATGCAATGAAATGTATCTGAAAATTGCATCTGAAATAAAATATATCGGACTGACCTAGATTCTCTCACAGACATATACATATATATCTATACGGCATCCAATGTTTGCTGTAAAGTTCGATTAGTTCACGACTTGTGCTTATATTCTGACTAGCTATTATTTATCTGTTTTGTTTTGTTTTGTTTTTCTCCCTCTCTCTTCTACTTCCCTTCTTTGATCGCTGCTGCTGCTTCTCTCTCCTCTCATTCCTCTCCTCTTTGATTTTCTTCCTCTCCCCTTTGATTTCCTAAACACCCCCCCTCCCCTACCCTTTCTAAAGTTGCGACGTCAAAGTCGCGACCTCAAGTCTTACTATTACATACATATACCACGGTATGTACCGTACAAGCCCAAGTATCCCCCCTCACCCCTCGAGAATGCCCCCAAATGTTTCCTTCCTTCCCACTATAAACCAACCAACCCCCTTTAGGGCATCGAGTTGTTGGGTAGCTGACGGGTGAGATGACACTTTTACCTACCTACGTACCTGCCTCGAAGGTGATTGATTAATCGATTGATGGATTAAGCGAGCCCGCATGTAGGTATCTGTTGTATCTGTTCTATCTGTTCACAAGCACGATTGTTTGCATTCCCTTTTTTCTACCCCTCTTTTCTTTTCTTTTCTCTTCTTTTCGGTTGTTGTTTTTATTTCTATTTCTATTTCTACATCTGTCTTTATCTCTCTCCATCTCCATCTCTCTATCCCTATCTTTATTCATCCATCCACCCCATCCCTGTCCCCATCCCATCTCCCCTCTCCCCCCTCTACCCTTTGACATGACAGACAAAACCCGTCTTTTAATCACTAATCACCAATCGCCTGTCTCCATCTCCATCTCCATCTCCATCTATGAACCGATACCACATACCACATACCACAAACCGCAAACCACAAACCAACAAGGAAGTCGCAAGTCACCACCAGTCGCCTGATCTGCTTATTCCACTCATCATATCCAAACTTCCAAACTTCCAAACTTCCAAACTTCCAAACTTCCAAACTTCCAAACTTCCAAACTTGCAAAATTGAACTCCGTTCGTTCAAGCCCGTGCCAAATCGAATGAGAGAAATACATTACCCGCGTAGAATAAGTTCGACGTGTGTGAATTTGGTGATTATATTTATGGTACAAGAATTACAGAGCATATACACAGTTTTCTTGTTTACCTTCTTCTTTTCTCCCTTCCCGGATCCCCCTTTCCCTTCCCCCAACACCCCCCCGCAGGTCACCGATCGAGCGACCCTGTAGCCTGCTCTCCATGCCCAACCTGCCGGCCGGCGTGAACAACCACATCCGCCTCGACGCCCTCCATCGCGTCGACATCTAGATCAGGAGTCGTCGCTTTAGGCGTGTGCCCATGCCGATTCCCAATCCCAATCCCAATCCCAATCCCGTGCCGATTCCTATTGACGCCTTCTTGTTCCCCACCAACACCATTATCATCGTCGTCGTGAGTGTTCCGATCCGTGGTCTCCGCGCCGCCGTGCTCGATCAGCGCGCTAGCCATAGCCTCTTCATTCTCGCGCATGAGATCTTCCTCTTGCCGCCGCAACTCCTTCGCCTCCTCGCTCTCCTCCTCCTCCTCAGCATCGGCACTAGCATCGACATCGCCCATGACCTGATCGCCATCCGCCATTGGAATATCGTCGGCGGGTGGCGGCGGCGGCGGCGGCGGAGGTGTGCCGTCGAGAAGAAGTCCCAGCCCAACAACACCCACACCATCCTCCTCCTTCAACCGCTTGTGGGAGTCCGAGATCAGGTTCGCGAACGAGATGCTGGAGTCCTCGTCGCCGCCGGGCGTGCCGAGCTCGTCCTCAGTGCGTTTCCGCTTCAGATCGGACGTTGAGCCGGAGCCGGTGAGGGATGGGGTGTCGGGTTCGGGTTCGGGTTCGGGCTCGACCGGGGAGGGTGTGAGGCCAATTTCCTCGCCGTCGTCTTCGACTTTGACTTCCCCATTCCCACTCTCTTTCTCGTTCACCCCGTGATCCACAGAACCGAGGAAGCTCGAAGAAGAATGTTTCTCGGCCTTCCGCTTGTCTAGCGCCTTCTTCTTCTCCACAGCCCGCTCGAAGAAGTCACGCACGTAGGACTTGACTTTCTTCTCTTGCTTCTCAGAGATCTTGGTAGGGTCCGAGACGCGGTTGTTTTTGTAGTCGGAGGCGACGAGTTTCTTGCCGACTTCTCTGGCAAATTTCTTCAGGTCTTCTTTGGGCAGTTGCTTGGTGAACTTTTGCATTACGTGGCGGATGTGAGGGAGGAGCTGCGCAGGATCAGGTAAGCGTTCAATCTAATAGCAGAGAGGGGTAGAAGGGAGATGTGGAACGTGTATTTGACTTACAGTATTCTCGTACAGCTTCATCTGCTTCTCCACAGTAAGCGACCGCCATTTCTCAGCTGGCTTCTTGGCGTCTTTCGGCGTCGAGGTGCCGGTTGGTGTAGATTGAACAGGGGTTTTGGGGTCCGGTTTTGTGATGCTGTCGATGATGTCCTGGAGAGCCTTTGCGGTCTGGACGCTCTTCGGAGGCGCTTTCGGAGGTGGAGGTGGTTCAGGAGCTGGAAGATAGGGTTTTACCCAGGTGGTTGCGCCGGATTTGCTGTAGTAGTATGTGTTGCCCTTTGCATCCTGGGCGGCGAACCACCCAGCAGGCAATGCGTTCAAGGGTCTGCGGATTGGCGGAGGTCGGGAGGGAGCGAAGCCAAAGGTTCGTTGTGGAATGTTACTGCGAGGTCCTGCGGGTGCGGTGACGATTGGAGTCGCAGGGGATCTAGAGACTTCATCTGGGCGGTCGGTGTTGCGACGTTCGAAGACCGGGACGGCTGACGGATCGAACTTTTTGCGGGGGATGCGGTAGCCACGGTCGAGTTTCTTCCACTCAGCCAAGAGGCGCGCAGACTCGGATGCGACATCTTCGTGTTCGGATGTTGAGAGCTCGATAATCGTAGATTCGATTTTAGAGTCTTCAATCTTGTTCAGCGTAAGTCGGGGGAATTTGTAGAGGATATCGAGAACTTGGAGGATGACATTGTTGTCTTCCTTCCACATGTTCAGGGTGCTGCGGAGGATCTGGTAACCGTGCATCTGAACAACCCGGTTCCGAACTCGATCGTCGTCGCATCGCTGAATACGACCGAGTAATTTGACTGCAATCCATTTTTCCTTGCATTGCATGAGGGCGGCCATGACCTTCCGGACGCCTTCCTCGTCAAGACCCTTGGGTTGAACATTGTTGACGTATTCCTCGTCGTCTTCGCCGGTCTTTTTCTTCCGAGGCTTCTTCGCGACCGCCGAATCCCATCCATCGCCGTCGTCGATACCGAGCGCCTCAATCGTTGCATGCGATAGTTTGGTTGCGCGCTCAGTCTGCGTCTTACCTCCAATGTAACCAGTGCAGTTGGCTTCGCCACAGTAACAGGGCTGCGGGTCGGCGCCGTATCGGTCCACATTGTAGTTGAAGACTAGCTCCTCGCCAGCTTTGATATTTCGCTCGGCAAAAATGCCCATGCGCAACTTCTCCCCAACCACCCATTTGTCCACGTAGCAGTTGGGGTTGCAGGAATGATTGCAGAATCGACCGAGATTACCCTTCTTCGTCGCATCGACGAACTCGTGCTTCGTGAGAGACATGAAATAGAAATGCTTGATACCTTCTTGATCATACTGCACCGTCCGCCTCCGAAACGTCGGCTCGTTGATGACTTCGCCTATATACTCGAAAATGAAGTCGTTCGCATCGAGGTCGACATTGGCGCGCAGGCCGTAGCCCTTCTTTTCAGTCTTGAAGACCGAGACGTCGGCGTATTGCTTTTGTTGAAATCGCTGGTTCTGGCACCCGGAGCCACAATTGCATTCTCCGCCGACACACTCCATTTTCGTCGCACGGTTGATACAGTCGGAATCTTCGCCACATGCATGGTTTTTGCCATCCCCTGAACGGTCAGCGCAGCGCAAATTTGGGCTCCGAGGGTATACTCACTCCACTCTTCAGAGCAATCGCAATCCAAGGCATCGTGCTCAGAAGATCCCATTCCCTTGGAGCCGTAGATGCAGTCCTTGATCTTCTGAAATACCCCCGTAGCCTCCTCCGTAGCATCTGGCACATCGTTGAATAGTGGTGGTGGACGAGCAGTTATTTTCTGTAATGATTTTCGTAGCAACTTGGGTGCCTTGCCGGGCTCAACTGTAACTGTGATGCCGCCCCCAATTATCTCCTCTTCTACCTCCTCATCTTCAGACTTGGGGGTCTGGCTCGCGCTCTGCTTCTCCAATGGTGACTGAGACGCCGAGTGCTTGACCGCAGGAGTTGAAGATCGGGACCGCGTCAAATAGCTGGGTCTTGCCTCTTTTCCCACCTTGCCATTGGCCTGGGTACTATCCTGCTCTGCTGCTGGCGCAACTTCGTCGAGCTTCATCTCTTCCAGCGCAGCATCGACTGCTTCTGGATTCGGCTCCCGAGTATCGTCTGCCATTGTGTGTCGGAGGACCTTGGTGCTTGAAGGGTGTGTGGATGGGCGTCCAAGATGAACCAGCCTCGATCCTGGTGCCGTAGGAGCACCCACGAAGGGGTTGATCAGGCGGGCTCTTGTTATATGCAATTATTTATTTGTAATAGGTATTGGGAGATGGTTCGATTCGATTCGTGTATACGTGCGAGGGGCAGCAAAGGTAGGTATCGAAGCAGTGGGTGGTTGCGCTGCGCCTGGCTGGCGTGGATGCCGACTCGAAGGGCGAGTGAGTGAATGCGAATCGATGTCGCGATGGAAGGGTGAGTGTTTGGGGGCGGGTCCAATTACTAGCAGACGAGTTCATGAAGCGCAGCCTCGAAGGGAATGACCGTGACGTGTGTCCGGGTGACGACGCCGGATAATAGAAAGAAGATGGAGTGCGCAAAGATGCAATAGAAATTGATGAAGAATAGCGCCCTTTTACCTCGTCCACATTGCATTTCCCCTCTCTCCCTCTTTCTCTCTTTCTCTCCGATTTCCTGCTATAGCTCGCACTGCACTGCGCTCACATATCACTGTTCACTTGTGCGCCTCCTCTGCCTCGGCAATCCAGTCGGTCGGAGAATATCAATTGCTATGAGGAAACAGGAAGATTGTAGATACAGTTTGGGGAACGCTCAAGCGCCGGCGTTTGCCGAAGTCCCTCCTTGCATGACAAATGCGCCTCTACCAATTCGACAACATCTGCTGCGTAGATGGCTGTGAGCATTTCTGGAAAAATACTTGAAGCCCCGAGCGGTACTAGAGAATATTTGTCCATGGTAATGCTCTCATGCGACAGTGCTTCGCTGAATCAGAAAGAGCCTCAGCCTCGGCCTCTAACATCCTTGCCTCCCGCCAGCCTCTGAAATCCGATCCAATTTAGGAAATGAAATCTAACATACTCTTGTCGTTGAGGACGAATGATCCGTGGCATATCGGGTGCCGATTTTCGTTGGATTTGCAGCGCAATCTTTGTGAAATTGCGCTGATGAGCGATCCAGGGAAAACATATCCGGACAGCCATTTGGGTTATGAGGCCGGCGGATTATGAGGCCGGCGGATTTCCGCTACCAACTCGGAGCTGCAACTCGGAGCTGGGATATCGAAGTGATATTGAAATATTCAGCAGTATGGTAGATGCCAGAGATATGGCTGGGCAGGCTTTATCCAAAGTCCCCTGCGTATAGCATTTTCTGCCCTGTTCTTACAGTGAGGCTTGCCACCAGGTGGCTGTTTCCTCCGCCGCTGTACACGGCAGAGGTTTTGAAATATCCGTCTGTCTTTCATGACTTACCAGAATCCTCGTGGAGGCTTTTTCTTGTAAGGGTTTGGCGCATATCCACTTGACAGCCCAATTTTGATCTGACCGCTTCTTACCAGTATACCACCACAAACTATTTCTAGCCAGCTCGTAACTGTAGCGTTTCGGGCAAGGAGGATCAAGCGCTTGAAATAAAGCGCCTGGAATCAAGCGCCTGGAATCGATCTGCCAGCAGCGTCAGCGATAGTAGGCAGGACATGAATTTATAGCCCTTTGGCCCCTTATGAGCGTGTGACAGCGCATTCTGCAGGAATGGCGCGAGCTCCCACCAGTTTTGCCATATATGAAGAGACCAGATCCACTGAGTACGCCGTGTGTGCTACTGGGGGTATTTTCAAATGTTTGGGCGTCTGCGGTTGCTTTTTGTCTTGTGCGATTGCGGTGTCAAGGTCGGCGTTTGGTCGCATGTAGGAAGTATGTTTGCGCTTCCCTGTAAGGGATAGCCAACGGATTTGCCGCCGTTAAAGTCGTCGGCGACAATGCGCGATTAAAGTATGATGTCGAACTTAACATTATCTTGCGGCTCAAGGGGGGATCAGCGGGCGAACGAGTTCCCAGCCCGATGGGGATGTGAAATAGGAAAACGATTGGTTCTCTTAGCCGGTAAGGGTAATAGGTCAGCGCTGTTCGAATCCTGTCAAATGTCGGGGGCCAGAGAAGGCTTTGTGTAGGTAGTGCGCCGTGATTTCTATCTTCTTGACAGGAAGACGATGACACTTCTCGGGAATATCGCATCGTGTAGGAAGAAAGCCGCCCAAAAGTTGTTGGCGCTTCTGGTGATTCTTGAAGGAGAGGGAGGGGGAGGGGGGAAGAGAGTTTGGAAGGCTACCTAAGGTACCTAGGTACAGAGGATATGATCTGGCCGAGCCGAATGTGTGGCTAGGAAGCTAGGAGCGGGCGGGCAGGACAGGACAGGACAGGACAACAGGACTACAGGACAAGACAGGACCGCCGCCGGCATCGAGGCCGAGCGATTCCGTATACTCATACTCCGTACATCCTGCATCCGCTGCTAAGCTGCATATGCACGTCTGCAAGTAATTCCAATGTGGATTGCATTCCCATTGGCACTGGCAATGGCACTGGCAATGGCACTGGCACCTACCCCAGGCATTTTCTCTTCTCTCCTGTCGTGCTCCCTTCAGACGCCTTTTGACGCTCTTGCGAGCGGCCTGTACCTCTCAGGTACCTCTACCTACAGATCAACTACCTACCCGGCTTGGGTGCGCTTCAACTTCTTCTTCTACTTAATATTTCCTTCTTCTTCTCGGTCTTGCTCTTCCCAGCCGCCACCCTCGAGGCCCTCCCTGGTACTCTGTCTTCATATCCTCTTTCCACTGACCACGGCATTACTCTCTTTCGCTGCGACCTGATACGATCGATATACTACAAAGATAGCTACATGTTCGATCCTTCTTGATATGTCTCGAGAGTGATGATATACCTCCGGTACAAGAAAGATGCTAAATGCCCTCTAATTCGTTTTTCCATCCAACTACGCCAGCCGTTCTCTACCTCTCCTCAGCCTATCGAATATCTGTACGGCACAATGAACACCCAGCCCTTTTCGGAAGAGGAGAAGGTTCGTGGACTTCAAAACAATAGTGCGAAATGTTGAGGATAGTTAACAAGCAGCTACGAAATGCCTCTATCCCTCAAGGCGCATTGTCTTATTACAACCTTGCGAGCCTTGTCCAATATCAACTAACTCCGATGTAGAGATTCGTTCTTGCAGAGGCCATCAGGACCAGCACAATACCCTTGGATCGACTCTTCCACTTTCTCAACGATGGGCGTATACACATCGCTTGGGACGAGATGTTACTCCCGCGTGGTAAGCTGAACTTGACAACCCTCCGGAGCAAGGTCCCTAGATCGCAAATCTGCGCATAACCAACACACAGACTTCTGGCCTATATATCGGACGATTTATTAGCCCATGCTTACTTCCATGTAGGGCGAAACCTTAAACAATGTAAAGACGCCTTCGAAGCCTTGCGACCAAGCCCGCCCACGCAAATGTACCAGTTTCAAGCTCATAGCCAGAGCCTTCCAGCCTTGAGCCCTATTATTGCCAGTGCTGGGATCAAGCGCAAGTCGCCAGGACAACTAGAGCTATTCTCTCCTGCCTCTGATCCAAAGCGACGTCAGTCCAATGATCCTGTTCCAACGGCGCGCGACATTCGTCCCAAACCGCCCCCCTCTAATGGGTCCCCTCTGACAATGGGCTCTTTTCACCCATCCGAACCCAAGAAGCGCGGTCGACCATCCAAAAAGGATGTCGAGCGCAAGCAAGCCGAAGCGATCGCACGAGGAGATATCATTCCACCGGCTACAACAACGCCATTGCTAGGATATGCGAGCCATAACAACGAAGCGGGCACGAGTAACTATGCGCCAATTCTTCCCACTCCTCCATCGATGACACCGGCTCATGTATATGGGCCAACTCAAAGCACTCCCATGCGGAAGGGGAGCCCAGAAAGTGCAGCGGAAGTACCTGGGAAGAGGAAACAGGCCAAGGCAACTCCCAAGGCACTCAAGGTAGGCAACATGTTCGGGTAGAGGGCAACCGCTAATAGTTATGAAAGCCGTCTCCGAAACAGTCGGGAGAAAGCAGTTTTTTGGTCAATCCAACCATTAGCCAGTTGGTCGAGCCTCAGGAGTCGTATGCCACGCCTTCCACCGCACCACCCGACCCTGGCCCCATATCAGGTCCAGTTCCGGTGGTTTCTACCGCACGGAGCAGCAACCTTTCCATCCTGAGTCCAGAGGCAGCACCACCGTTAACGATCCAGCCACAACGACCGCCCCCGGCATGAGGCACCCTCCAAATCCACTGGCCTTGCCAGGACTCGCCTCGGGCATCTCGCATACTTTACCGTACTTCATTTGTCACGATTTGACCGACTAGACGCGTTTCACTAGAATTTACGCCTTCCACGTTCGCATGTAATGGACCATCCATCGACTAATCATTCTATGTATAACGCCTGATGCCGCTTCGTATATATCACTGACGCCCTTACGTCCCTTCGCATCGATACACGGACCGCCTTCTCCCTTTTCTCCCAGATGACGCGCACGCTACGAATACACTTGCCCAGGCTACCCTCCACAAGACCACATTCCTTCTTTCCTGATCTTCGACCTGTAATGTTTCACGCAAGCCAACGATACCACCGACCTCACGAGCGAGCATTTACGCGGAGCTCTGGATTTCACACTCGTCCATATTGCCCTCCCACTATTGCGTACATCTTTGGTTGTTCTCGTATGAACGGATGGACGTGAAGGCGTTTTAGATTTTCCGGGCGATCTAACCTTAGGCTTTCTTGCCTCCTGTTGAATGTCCTCGTTTTTATGTTCGACCATATACATGTAGCTCGCGGCTAGATGAGTGCTGGATGAGAGCAAAGCGGGGGGTGGAATGGAAAATGGAGGGGGGGGGGGGAGCTCTAAAAGCTGAAATGCATGACACGAAATGAATGAATGTACGATTAGACCAGCATCTATTATGACGGTAGTATTTGATTATGGCAATACAGGGGGGGGGGGTTAAACCTGGTCGCTCTCTTGAATCATTTCTATCCCGATTTCGAAGTGGATGCTGTACGGAAGCTACGTAGTAGTAGATCGAATGGTCCGTCCACACGCGGGAAGTGGAAGGGCCTTCCTCCCTCCCTTTCCCTACCTACCTACAAGTAGCTAGGTCTGCCCCGCCCTCCCCCTCGTCCCCCTCCTCCCTCTCCCCATTTTTACTTCCTCAGTACTACGTAAAAAACCAAAACCCCCCCTTCCACCCACCCACCTACCCCAAAAAAGAAAACCCCCACCTCATCCACCTCATCCACCCCCCACCCCCACCCCAGTCCAGTCCAGTCCAGTCCAGTCCAGTCCAGTCCAGTCCCAGAATCTAGACCGGCCTCACCATCCGAAAGTAACGGGTGAACCCTACGTATCCGTACACACGCCCACAAGCAATCACCCAATTCGGAACCCCGATCCCGAGCTAGCCCCAAAGAAAAGGAAAAANAAA